TACACTACAAATAAGATATGTGCAGTGTGCATAAGAATTCATTCATGTTTTCTTCAACTTATAATCCGGCCCTCCGACAGTTTGAGGGACTGTGACCTGGCCCTCTGTTTAAAAAGTTTGAGGACCCCTGCCTTAGAGTTACCACAGATTGCAAACATCTTGAAGGCACACAACAATGACCATTTTATTGTGAACCATTAGGAGCGTTACTTTTGTGTGGTGTAAATTCAATAAACAGGCCCATCCTTAATAGCTTCAGGAGAGTTTGTACTGTTGGAAGACTTCAGCTTTGAGAAACCCAACATCTACTGTTGGAGTCCACCCTCATAGCTGAGGATGATGAGGATGATGGTTTTATTAGCTGCCTCTCCTTGTGGCTGATACTGATGCAGCCAGAACATTCCTTTATTTGCTTTATAACAAGAGGAAGGAGCAGTGGTAGTCAATATAAACATCTCCTTTCTCAATTCAGGTTATCCCCAACCAGCCCACTCTTACTTATCCCATTACCAGTCATCAAAGTGGCACTGACTCCTAGCCTCCTTTAATCATAGCAAGCAAGCAACAAAAGCAGGTAAAGTGGCTTCATAAAACCAGAAAGGAATAAAATCTAGGATTCCTTGGTCTTTTAAATCAGTTTGGATGTTGCAACTGCATCTCTCCTCCCTTTGATTTTTTTCAAACTACAATGATGAGTTCTGGATTGACAACCGGTAACCCGATCGGTATGAGCCCTCAAAAAGTGGCACTGGTTGGCTATTAATTAGCACTCATTGTAAGTCATTGAGCCATGACAAAGCAAGAGGGCTTTGACGAGCAAGGCGAACACGAGCCATGCCAGTGCACACCAAATGTCCAGAGATTATATAGATTTATGATGTTATCTACTAGAATCTTATCTTTCGAGGCTTCCATATATGACATTTAAAAGGCTATGCTATGTGGGTAAAACTAATGTGCTGAAAAATGTATAGGCCAAAGCAGGCCTGTAGCCAGGATTTTGATTTGGGGGGGGGGGGGGGGGGCTGAGTCTGAGTGAAAGAGGGTCTAGCCTGGCAAACCTTTTGTATTGTTACCCCAATACCCCCATGCATATGGGATATATTGAGCATGGTGATCAGATCATGATATGAATAAACATAACAGTTTAAATAATGTACCAGTAAGGCCTTCTCGCGGACCACCATGAGAATTTCGGGGGGGGGGGGGTTGAAGCCCCCCAAGGGACGGGGCAATAAAAAAAAAAAAAAAGGCAAGAAAAAAAAGCCAAGCCAAAGATATAAGGTCAGTGAGGTTCCCAGGAAGGACCCCCCTCCCCCGCCCCCCCCAGCCCCACCCGAGCCCCCCCCCCCCCCCCAGCTACATGCCTGGGCCAAAGGGATTTCTGGCAGAATTCAGCATGTACTCAGCTCAAAAGTCTACCTGATTTTATTGCAACCACAGCTTGGCATAAATGTATTTTATTATTTTGGGCTATAGCAATATAGACTATAGCAAATAATGGTGCTATGAGGGAGCCCCTGGTGGCGCAGTGGGTTAAACCACTGACCTGCTGAAGCTGATGACTGAAATGTCACCAGTTTGAATCTTGGGAGTGGGGTGAGCTCCCAGTGTTAGCCCCAGCTTCTGCCAACCTAGCAGTTCAAAAACATGCAAATGTGAGTAGATCAATAGGTACCACTCTTGCAGGAAGGTAACAGCACTCCATGCAGTCAAGCCAGCCACATGATCTTGGAGGTGTCTATGGACAACACTGGCTCTTTGACTTAGAAATGGAGATGAGTATCAACCCCCAGAGTTGGACATGACTGGACTTAATGTCAGGGGAAAACATTTAACTTTACCTAACTTTACCTTTGCTATACCAAACATCCTGTCCAGGGAAATTTTGCTAGCTGGAGAATTCTGGGACCTGTAGTCGAAAACATAACTACTGTAGTATTCCCAACTCCATTTGCAGCAACATGAAACTATCCAAATCACTGAATACTTACAGCTGCGTGGGTCTAATATCCACAATATCTAATATGGACTATAGAGTGTACAAATGGGAAATACATCATATTAGATTTAGTATGCTTTCAGCAAAGGTAGCCTAAGGCCCCTTCCACACAGCTGTATAAAATCATATTGAACTGGCATATATGGCATGTGGACTCAGCCCAGTTCAAAGCAGATATTGTGGATTATCTGTCTTGATATTCTGCATTATATGGTTGTGTGGAAGAAAAAACTGTAGGCATGCCTGTACAAATGTTTATATACTACTACTCTCATTGGGATGGGGAATGAATCCTGATCATTTTGTTTTCTAACAGAAATGTCAGTTGTCATTGTTTTTATTGAAAAATGAATGAAAAACAATGTTCTACCAAATGTGTTTGATTTGTATTCATTTTAATGTTAATTTCAGAGGGTGCATCATGTTTGGAGAGTTATCTTGATGGACTGCAATTCCCATCAGCTCTAGCTAGCCATACTAGGTGAAGAATGATGTGAGATGCAGTCCAGCAACATTTGGAGTATTCCAGACAGCCTTCATCATTGTGAAGATCTCATCTCCTACCTTCACCATTAGCAATGTTCTCTATGTAATTTTCTCAGGCAGTTTTTAAAGCAGTGCCCATGGCATTGCATATAACAGGTAAAAAGCTTCCCATATCAAAGCAAATAATTGGATAGTTATTTTTTTAAGGCGAATGGGTAGGCTTATGTTTGTTTCTTCGCTGTCTGGCAAAAATACCTTCTTAACCAAATCCCAAAGAGGCTCTTTAAAACTCTTAATTATAGGGTTGTTGTAGGTTTTTCCGGGCTATATGGCCATGTTCTAGAGCCATTTTCTCCTCTTAATTATACTTTTCCCATAACATATTTTCAATAACTCACAGCAGGATGTTGATTCTGTGGAAGATGTTGCCATTGGAAATGAATAAAAGCATATAGGCTCTAGAATATGCCTCCATGCCATTTTAGAAGATTATTTAGAAGCCTTCTGCAGAACCAGAACCAGTGTGGTATAGCAGTCTATTGGACTGCAGGCCCAGGAGATGAGGATCTGAATGCCTACTGAGCCATGGAAACCAAATGGACAACCTTGTGCAAGTCAAACTCTCTCTGTCTAAGAACAAGGCAATGGCAAACATATCTGAAGAAAACTTGCCAGGAAAATTCTATGACAAGATCAGTATAACTTGAAGTTGCTTTGAAGTCACATACCCAGACTTTCCTAGTTTGGAACCTCATTGGAACCTATTCCAACACAACTGAAGAGCTCCAGTTTGGGAAATACTCTTCTTTACTACCCAGAACTTAGAAGAGTTTCCTTATTTTACTACAGTTCACAGACAACCACACTCAAGTCAACATGGCCACTTGCCATATTATTGTTTGCTTCTTTTATACCCCTCCTTTCTCACCCCTGAGGGGACTCATGGCGACTTACAACTCTGGCAAAATTCAATACCATATACAACATAACAATAAAAGTAGGCCCCATCAACTATAAAACAATTAAAACTCATGGACAAATAAACACATATTGGCTAGTGGATTGCGGGAACGATGCTCTCAAAAACATAATTTTTCTGAGCTGTGCAATTTGTGTCAGAAGAACCTGTATTCTACAACATTACCAGATAAAGGCCTCTGTTTGATTTCTTATATGTGGTGTGATGCTGAGCAAAGCCTAGGAGGGCTTACAATACCCAACAGCTGTCCCAAGACCTCTTGAGATGTTTTGAATTCCAAATCCCATTGCCCATGATTACTGAGGTTGATAGAAATCTATAAAAAAATGGGATGGATTGCTTCTCTTAGCAGCTCCCAGAATGTGCCTCTTCATTATTTATTTATTTTATTTAGTACATTTGTAGACCGCCCTTCTCAGCCCTAGGGCGACTCACGGCGGTGTACAACATATAAAAACCAGGTACAATTTCAACAAAGCAATTACACATCAACAATAAACAACAGCACTATCAATAATACAGCTACACTAAATCATTTGCCACGTCTCATCGTTGAATCATAATCCGAATCTCATTATCCATGTTCCGTTCTAATCGTCATTGCCAATTGTTGCAGCACTTACACAAACGCCTTCTCAAAGAACCACGTCTTTAGTCTCTTGCGGAATGTCATAAGGGAGGGCGCCACTCTGATGTCCACAGGGAGGGTGTTCCACAGCCGGGGGGCCACCACCGAGAAGGCCCTATCCCTAGTCCCCGCCAGGCGTGCCTCATTACCACTTTTTCTCAAAACCCAAAATGTCCTACTTCTGGATACTTTTGGAATTGTATGTTTGGGGATTTTAGGGCAGGTTGTGCTGTTCTCAATGAGCCCCTTGAGGTAGAAGACTGGCCTCTGGACTTGCTGCAATGATTTTATCTCCAATGAAGGCAGTTTGACCTGGCTGTGTCCATGCTGGCTGATGCAACCATGCAAAATATGCATAGAGACAAGTGTGCACGCATGCACAGTTGTCATGTATGAAGTCTCTTGGACACATAGGTTTTGCATTGCAGGTAGAAGCAGCCCTTAAACATAGACTTCTTTGGGTTGTTGTAGGTTTGTTGGGCTGTATGGCCATGTTCTAGAAGCATTCCCTCCTAACATTTCGCCTGCATCTATGGCAGGCCTGCCATAGATTCAGGTGAAACGTCAGGAGAGAATGCTTCTAGAACATGTCCATACAGTCCTATAAACCTACAACAACCCAGTGATTTTGGCCATGGAAGCTTTCGACATAGACCTCTTTTATGCTGAAGGAGGCAAAGTGGCCCAAGTAATAAAAATTTACAAACTAGTGATGTTATAAGGACTTGGTATAAGACAAAATTATTAAAACTAATCTGCCGGTCACCACGTCTTTCTGAACCAGTGTCAGTTTGAGATGGGGGCTAAAGTGCTGTGGGTGTGAGGGGGTGCCTAAGACTCTCCTGCCTGCATACAATGAATGTATTTGGGCCATAAAGAGCTCCTAGCTCCACCCTCCGCCTTTCCCTCCCCCAGTGCTAAGCAGCAAGCCAGTCACAGAGACATTCATGCAGGGTATTAGGAAAAACCAAGCTTCCCCCTAGGAATGGCACTTGACTGAGAGTTCCCTCAGCAGACAGCTCCTGAAAGCCACCAGGCTTGCAAAAGGAGAACAGAGAGCCTATTGGGATACAAATTACAGTTCTCTCAGGATTTGCCCGACACACCGGCCAATGTAAGTTTTCCTACCTGAACTTGGTGACTCTTTCCTTCTCTTTCATTCTTTTTCTCTAATTTTTCACCATGACAACTTTCTCCTTCAGTTTTTTTTTGCCAGATAAAAGTTGTTGCTCTTCTTTTCAATGATCTTTGAACCAAAAACTGCTCATTTCCAAAGCAGTCATCTTTCTCATTTAAAGAAGAGAAAAAAAGTGGTGATGAGTTCTACTTTATTTTTAAATATTGCTTCTCAGATGTTGGCATAAACTTTATAAGGCGGAACGGAGGTGAGAAGCATCCGTGAGCTGAAGCTTTGAACTTTCTAGAAGCTATATTTTAAAAAAACTTTTAGAGCATAAGTAAAACAGGAAGAGAATATGTAGCCAAAATATTTCCAACCATACTCTATGGTGCCTTGTACCTGGTCTGCTTCAAAAAATCATTGTGTGCTAAGGACAGATTGTGAAATGTACCTCTTAGGCGACTGTAAGGCGTTTATATTTTGATCCTTTAATGCTAAAACCATCCATTTCTCCTCAAACTGCTGATGTTCTTGACTCTAATCCCAAGCAAGTTTAAATTGACAGCTCCAGTCATCTCTGGAATTAAAATTTAGAAGGAGACATTAAAATGAAAGGGTTGGTTTTTGGTCTTCTTGCCTTTCCAAGACTACAAAATCTTTGTTAGTGCCCAATGTGCTCACTCAAAAATGGGTTTTAGTGTTTACAGCAGCTTTTGTAAGTTTCTAATTAATTTTAAATCATGGTTTCTCATCTTTGATCACAGATTTTTCAGCTCCCATAAAATGTTGCATAAGGCTAAATGCTTCCTATCCGTATTTTTCTTAGCTATTTACTGATTCTTTGTCAGACTACGGAACGGTTTTCGTGCTTTTCGGCTTTAGCGTTGACACTCACCTGTCTTTTCCCCTTTCCTTCTCTTGTGGTTTCAGCTTTGAAGTTGTAATAGCTGAGGATTAAAACAAAGAATCAAACATGACGGATGATCAAGACCTTTCTGAGGTTGAGATGAGTCCTGTGGGTTCTGAAGACCACCACTGCCTTTCACCAGGACCTTCCATGGCATCGGATGCCAATGCTCACCTTAACAACTCGAGCAGCGGTGAGATGGGGAAGGTGAAAAAGGAGCAGCAGGATTCAGAACCGGACGACGATAAGTTCCCAGTGTGCATCCGGGAGGCAGTGAGCCAGGTACTGAGCGGCTACGACTGGACCCTGGTGCCCATGCCAGTGCGGGTCAATGGAAGCAGCAAGAGCAAGCCCCATGTCAAGCGGCCTATGAATGCCTTCATGGTGTGGGCACAAGCTGCCCGGAGGAAGCTGGCAGACCAGTATCCTCACCTCCACAATGCAGAGCTTAGTAAGACCCTTGGGAAGCTCTGGAGGTAAGAATGGTGTGGGAAGAAAGCATATAATGTGGGTGCGGGGGAGCTGAGGCATGCCATGGAGGGACGGAAGGTCAGAAAGCATATTGGGTCTCTCTTTATGCAGCATGCTGCTAAAGGTAGAGCCAGTGGATTGGACCAGGTAAAAAGGAATGGTCGATAGCAGGAAGTACTGAGGAAACTGCCTATCTCGGCTGCATGTTGCCAGTACGAAACTGAGAAATGTGACATTTTTGAACCATGACTCTAAGAATCCTCAAGCTGGTATGGACAGTGAGGAATTCAAAGAGCTGTAGTCCAAAAATATGACTTTTCAAAGATCTGCATATAGCTCCTGTTTTGAATTTGCGTATTGTTCTATCCCAAGGTCTGGTTCATCAGACAGTAAAATGCATGCCCATGTATTAGTTTCCAGACATTATTTTATTTGCCTACACATCCCTTCTGTAGATTCTTGGTTCTCCTAAAGTTTTGTTTCCACATCAGTCCATGAAGCTCTCTTCTTTCATAGAGTGCTTAATGTTGATAATTCTGGACAATTCTTAAATCTGATATCAACAGTTATGATGAGAAAATCAGGGCAGGTTTGAGTGCCAACCATAAATCTGCTTTTCTCACTGGGCAAATATGAATGTTACTTTTCTGGTCTAAAGTCTATACAGCAAAATGAAATATATACATGATGGTGTGGATATTTAGACACACATGTGACTCAAAGGCATATAAATACTTATTTTAAATAATCGTTTTAAGCCAGTCCCGTGATTGTGAGCGTTCACTTTGAAGCACTTGGAGTTTGACCTGGTTGATGCACTGTTACCAATGTTTTTTTTTTCTTCAAAAACTTACTTAAGTATATTTCAACCAGAAGTTTGAAAACAGAGTGGTTATTGCTAGAGCGGAGCAGTTTTGTGACAGAAAGAGTTCTGCACCCATTTCCATTATTGTTTAGCTACAGGTATCGGTAGAACTGGTGAGTGTTAGGAGGCGATGCAGATTTGGGATCTGGCACTTGAGAAATATTGGCCCAGCAAAAGACTGTGCGAAAGTCTTTTGAAACTATGAAACAAACGAAAATAGGGTAAATGATGCTTACAATGAAAAGATGTTGCTACTCTTTTGTTGTGAATTCGTTACTTTTGGACAATCAGATCATCAGAACTTTGGTTTGTTTCTGTGGACAGAACTATACATTGTGCAGAAAAGTCAGTGCCCACTGAAATAGTGATTAGGCAGAAGCACATGACATTCATCACTTGTGTACATAGATGAATTCATATAGTACATTTCCTAAGGCTGCATTCCTATACACAACTGTCTGTGAGTAAGTTCCACTGAACAAAGTGGGGCATTCTCCAGAGAAAACATACATAGGATTGGACTGTTCAGTGTTTGGGGTGTATGTGACTTATCCATTTGTTCATCTTGCTCTTCTGCTATATGGCATCTGGACATCTTTCTTTACAGAAGCATTTGTTTCAGACAGACCACATTTCCCCAGCATTCAAATTGCACTATAAATCTCATGACGAAAAATGGTCACTTCCCCATGCTATAGGGGTCATTGCCATTTAGAGTGCTGTCTTGAGCACAGTTGTGAAAATACCACGATTACTTATAGAACAGTGGCTGGGACATCTGTGATTATAATAGATGCAATTCTCCTCCTGTCCTCAACACCTGCAAAGCCAAAATGAACTTGTTAGGATTGTGGTTATGTTCTGTGATTTTATTTGTACCTACTGCCTTGGAGAATGTGACAGGATTTCTTTTTATTTGAGACCTGTGCATTGATAAAGGGTTTCATTTTTTAAAATCTTATTTCCCCGAGTTTCCCATCCATGTTACAGTTAAAAATAAAAACTTTTCCAAATTCTTCCTGAAAGCAGTTAGAATTTTCAGAGAAAAGCAAGAAATTTGCTTTTGCTTTATGTGTCCCTTGGAATATATATCAACCAGATTTTTTTTTAAAATTAGAAGCCCATATAGAATTTCATTTGCCGGACAGGGTAATCTTGCTACATTTTTGTAGGGATCTATATTGCATTATTGTCTGTGCAGCAAAGCGTACTTTTAATGGATCATGCATATCAGCCTTAAAAGTGGGTTTCGTCAATGAAGGATGACCTTTGGGTGTCAGCTTCAACATAGCACAATCTATATGCACAAATTCTGAAAGAAAGCTTACATTTTATTGTCGAAGGTTTTCATGGCTGGAATCACTGGGTTGTTGTAGGTTTTTCGGGCTATTTGACTATGTTCTAGAAGCATTCTCTCCTAACATTTCATCTGCATCTATGGCAAGCATCCTCAGAGGTTGTGACCTCACAACCTCTGAGGATAGTTGCCATAGATGCAGGCAAAATGTCAGGAGAGAATGCTTCTAGAACATGGCCATATAGCCCAAAAAACCTACAACAACCCAAAGATTACATTCTTTTTGGAGTTGAAATCTCTGAGTTCTGCTTTGAATTTTTTGCTTTTATTTGAAAAGCAAGTAACAGAAAACAAAATGGAAGATGCCATTTTCATACTATCACATGACTCATGGCTTACAGGGGCCAAATGAAGTATAAGCTGAAATCCCAAGATCTGGCCCTAGTGGTTGTTTTCAAAGTCTTTCTCCCATCCACACCCTAACCATCATGTCTTCTAGGGATCTAAATAAGTAGCTAGGCCTAGTTCATGTGATTAGCTGTGCTGAGCAATTTGTCTATGGGGAGCAACGCAACACACATGTGATGTAGGGCTAAGAGTTCCACTTTATGCCCCTTGTGCCCTTGTTCATGAATAACTCCAGTCAGTGATTAGAAGAGGAAGGGCCATGGCTCTGTAACAGAGCACATGCTTGGCATGCAAACATTCATGGGTTTGATGCTCAGCATGGGAAATTAGAGTCGGGAAAGATTTCGACCTAAAAATCTAGCGTGCACAAACAATACTGAGCTAAACAGACCATTGGTATCACTCACTGTAAGGCAACTTTCTATATAGAAATACTTCTTCGTTGTCTCCCTAAAGTTGTCTCCCATTTTCATCCCAGTTTATACACCAACACACAAAAATATAGACCGAACTTGTAAAAAAGTAGTTTCAGATCTCTCCCCCATCCCTTCTCTGGTTTGTCTGACAGGCAATTCTTTTTATGGGTCTGAATCACAGGTACAGGTTAAAGAAACCAGAAACAAATATTTTGAACTCATCCTTTTCAATGACTTCAGTAAGGGAGATCAGCACCCATGGAGGATTTTTATTCTTCTCCTTCTTTTCTCAGACCAAATACCTTTCCGAATACTTATTCCTGTAGAACATGCCACAGAAAACGAAATGCCCAAATAAACTGGGACACTACGGTAATCACAAACAAGTGTTGATAACATTCATGCTTTGCACACCTGCATTTTTCTCAATCCCTGGGAAACTATTTCAGAGAACTCAGTGGTACTTTGCTGTGACGTGTACATGCAATCTTTTTTGTGTGTGTTTATAACTTGCTTTATTCTTATGTTTGAAGACAAAGATGTTCCTGAGTAAAATCTGCATTGTTTTGGCTCAGCCTTCTTTTATGTTGATGTTTTGCCAGAACTCCATAACATTTTGGGGGTATTTGGACTCCACACCTGTCCCAGTACATATTCATTCCTTACATGTACTACTGCTAGTAGCTATGTTGATTTTAGTAGCACCAGCCGACATAGCAGCAGTAATCATAATCATGAAAACAACCAACAGGCAGAATACGGTGGTATTTCAGACAACAATGAAAGGACAGTCAGACTTGTAGTGATTTGTTTGTATTATCTAGTGTTGCACTTTGCTGTAGTGTTTTTCTTATTACATAGTATTGTATTGCTGATCAAGGAAAGTGAAAAATGTTTAAGGGATTTTTTTTTTGGCTTTCTATACAAGAACTTATACAAGGTTTGGTACTATGGACCTTGGCTGATAGTGTTGCAAGTTTGAGAGTTAATGGTACCCTTGCTATGTTGCCCCTGGTCCCACAATATCTTACGGGCCTTCCATACAGCCAAATAACCCAGAACATCAAGGCAGAAAATCAACAATATCTGCTTTGAACTGGGTTATCTGAGTCCACACTGTCATATAATCCAATTCAATGTGGATTTTATACAGATGTGTGGAAAAGGCCATAGGGCCCTTCCACACAGCCATATAACCCAGAACATCAAGGCGGAATAACCCACAATATCTGCTTTGAACGGGAATACCTGAGTCCACACTGCCATATATCCCAGTTCGAAGCAAATAATGTGGGATTTTATTCAGTTGTTTGGAAGGGGCCTTAGTCATATCTTACTCGTCATCATATTGACCTGGTTTAGAATCTACGGGAATTAATTTATCTTAAGTCAGACCAAACTATTGATTGTTTTGACCTCTGGATAGGTTTGAGCTACATTCCTAAATGCGCTTCTCAAAGAGCAGGTTCTTCTGAATTCAGCTGGTTTAACCTCCTCTGAATAGGCACAGCCATCTTAGTTCAATCTGATTTGAAATGTTTTATTTACTCTTTAAAAGGATCATTTGAATTATTGATCCTTTAACACTCGTTACTGATTTCTAAAACAATGACAATAACACATTTCACTCTTCTTGAAGTTTCCTAAGTAATCGTTTCAAGTAGCGAAGAACTACTTTATATAAGTATAAATCTGCTTCTCTGAGTAAGAACCTGGTATGATATGCACCAAAAAAAAACTACCCCATTTTCAACTGTGCTTGTGTCTGTAAAGTGCATTTGTCTGTGACAGCCAGGTATCTAGCTAGTATATTAGAAGTGAGTGGTATTAAATACTAACTATAAATGTCTTTATTTCATGTAATTTGCTGTGCGGAATCAGTTAGAAACTATTAAAATATAATCCCACAAGGAATGATTAGGCGTTTTCAGGCTAATAAATATTCAGCTATTACAAAAATGTAGGAATTTAGCAATATAAAATGTTATAAGTTGCATAATACAAAATCCAACAAAAATT